GGGGATTTTTAAGGCTATTTTCTAACCAATATCTAAGAATTATATTGCACTACACTAAAGAACTCACATAGTTCTTCATTTTCCCACTCAAGTTCATCAACTGACTTGATCGTCAGAAGAACCACGGGTGAACTAAGCCTCGTCCTCTCACGAGTTGCTACTTGTGTAGGCTGAAGCTACTCAAATCAAAAGTAAATATTCAGAGAAATGAGCGGCCCCCTAATCAATCTCACCCCCTAATATATTTGATTGTTTGATTATTCATCATCAAAAGTTTGGCGCCCACCGTGAGGCCTTCTTACTTTTTCGAGAAATATGTCTGGTTCTGAGGATAGGGCTAATCAATCTCACCTTGTAGAACTACACCAGAACTACATTACTCAAGCTTGAAGAAACAGCTCAGAAGATTTCTCAATCCCTCTAACAGGAACTCTTTACCTTAACAAGGGAGCTCCTCAGTCGGCTTCCACAGCTACAATAAGCTACTTCCGCTGTCCTCCCGCCTTCTGGAGATCAGCGATCGGAGACTCATCCTCCTTTTTTAGCACAGCAAGTAGTCCGGCCTCAAACTCCTCATGCTGCTGCCAAATAGTTAAGGGATCGGGTTGAGTATGAGACCCTACCACCACATCGGTCGACTCACCCCGAGGAACCTCGCCTCCCTCATCCTGAAGTTACCGGCGAGAGTCTTGGCCCTGGTTACCCTGAGGACCGCACTAGGAGAGCAATTTAAGACTCTCCCCTATTATCGTGCCTTTCAAGCCCCCTCTGCTACCATAGGGGCCTCTGGATACGACCGGGTGTACAGACCAGTCATAGAAACCATCAGGAGGAACAACCCCCCCCTTTCGATGATCTCATGAAAACCCCCTATAAGAAGTTCAATATGCCTCACATGGAGAAGTATAAAGGCGAGGGAGATCCCTCCGAGCATGTTCAGAACTACTATGATGTAATGAGCATGCTCTAAGCATCGAATGTGGTTATCTACTGATGCTTCCCCATCACTTTTTCGGGGAGCACTAAGCTCTGGTGGAATGACCTTGAGAAGAAGTCCATCACCAGCTTCCAGCAACTCAGCTGATAGTTCATTCACCACTTCCTGGATAACACCAAGCAAAAGCTGCCCCCTAATGTGTTAATCTAGATGAGGAAAGAGCCTGTAGAGAGCCTTCAAGCCTACTTCAAGAGGTTATAGGCGAAGAGCCTGGAGGTTAATAACCCAGGGAGTGTGGTTGCTATGTCCGCCCTTGTGGCCAGCTTGTAGAGCAACGAGTTAGCTAACTCTCTTGCCAAGAAGTTGGTCGTCAATTATGAGGAGCTGATGGGCAAAGCTCATGGGTACATGGACATAAAGGATTCTCGAGCTTATAAGGCAAAAGTTAGGGCCACAGAGACCTCCATAGCCATGACTTCAATAGCCGCAGCTACATTAGAACCACTTGCACCGCCCGTACCAATAGTAGTACCGACGGTGGCGTCGACACCAGAGTTGGCTACAGCCCCCCTGCAAGGCAAGAGTGGCTGAGAGAGCCCCCGAGAGTCGACTCCCATTCAAATCGGTCCGACAGGAGGGACCAACAGAGGGGCCCGATGTTAGGTCTCATGTTTATGAGCCTACTATCTAATCTAGTTTTAATGATTAACAAATAATTCCTAACAATATTTTCGAGTGTTTGTATTTGCTTGTTAGGTATTCTACACAAAGATTCTCCGTTGGTGGTTGGATGGAATTGCACTTCAACGATAATATTCAAAGGAGGTTGGTAGAATCAAAATGAAACCATTTGTGCATTCAAGTCAAAGATTCTCTATTGTGCTTCATCCTACCAAAGTGAGCTTAATTGAAGATCAAATTGCTTGGGTATAGTGTTTTAGGTTTATACCTTGTGTGTTAATACTTAGAGCTCAAAAATCATAAACAAACACACACATTGGTTTATGATTTATCACTGTTTTAAGATTATAGACTTAACAATATGATTTTATATCTTTTCTCAAGTCTATAAATCTATTTTAAAGTGTTTCAAAACTTGTTTGAAGAAATTTTATCAAAATCAAGTTTTAACGTTTTGGCATTTGTTGAACGGTTTGCAAAATATAAGAATTTTCATAAACGAAAAATGTAAATTCAAAAATTTCTTCTCAAACATGTTTGTTTTCATATTTAGAAATATTGTCCCAAATTTTACTATGCTAAATTCATTTTACAAAATCAAGTGTTTAAGCAGTTTTCAGAATCTGGAATATCTATTTTAAAATAGATATTTCTCATAAATGGGAAGTGATATTTTATAAATTCTTTCTATAATATGTTTATCTACAAGTGTAGAAATTTTTCTCAAAATTTCATAATTTTTGGAGTTGATTTGCTATTTTTAATTAATTTTAGAAAATTATCTGTGCAAAATTTCAGGATCTGCCGTGCATGTAATCGATCGACCGATCACATGCCATCAGTCGAATGATGACCCCATATCAGTCGGCCGACACATGAAAATCAGTCGACCGACCAAAGATCTATTGTAGCCAATGGCTAGTTTTTCCAGAACCAATTTTTGGGGGTTTTTGTCTGTTTTTATTTATTTTATTATTATTTGGTTATGGAATGTTGTTTGAGAACATATAAATACCCCTCAACAATCAACACTTTTATATAACAAAGAAAAGTTTTAAAACAAGTTTTACAAGTTTGTTTAAAGCTTTCAAAGATCAAAAGTATGTTTTAGTTTTGTGAAGAGAGTTTCACAAGAAGAGGAGATCATCTCGGCTTTAGCTTCAAGCTTCATATCTTCATCTATCTTGTTTTGGAGAAGTTTTTCTAAACTCATCTTCTAGCTATCTATTGTTTTAATTCTCATATTTATGCTAGATTGATTTGAGTTTAATTTTGATTTTATTATACTCATTGTTTACACACACACCCCTTGAGCTTAAGTATTTTTCACATATAGTAATTTGGGTTGTGGTGAGTGATTCATTGAGTGTGAGCTTAACTTAGTTCTGTTGAGATCACATTGTAATACACAAGGACATTTAGAGGAGTGGTTGGTGAGAGACAGAGTCAATTCCAAGAGGAGTGGCGTCGGTTGTAAATCCTAGGGAGATGTAGTAATTTTGAGCACTTGAGGAAGGTGACACAGGCTAGGCCAACACTTAGAGGAGTGTATTGTTTATTGTCAATTGTGTGAGTTGTAAAAATTTATCGATGAGCATTGAAAACTGATTGTATATTTGTTTTTGAGATAGTGGAGATTCTCCTTAAGGGTTAGGAACGGAGACGTAGGTCATTTGCCTTGTATTTGCTCTTTTCTATTTGCACACTATCTCTCTTATTTGTGTGTTCATGTTTATATCACATGTTGTTTAATTATATATCCTTGCACATAACTTGTTGTAGATCATAATAGCTAGGATATTAGTTAATAAGTTTTAAAACGATAATAATATCAGATTAGATTAGCAAATGTGTACAAATATGATTATTATGATAGGTTTGGCCATTTGGCCAAACTTTGTTTTAATTTGAGAAAAGTTTTGCATTTGCAAATTATTTCAAAAAGACCATCTTTATTTGCAAATATTTCTCGTGCACAATCTCATGGTCGTCATAAACAAATGCGTTCATTCCATTACACTTATTATAATAAAAATGGGTCATTTGCGTGAATATTGTTGCTATGACCAGACCCAGGTACAAAATGCACTTAAATGAGATCATAACCCTAGAGCTTTGAGATTTATTGATAGGGGTCATGTCCCTAAGCTCTTCGGTACCAAGAGTGTTTGGGTACCAAAACAAGTTTTATTTTTTTAAAAGAACAAAACTTTTAGCTTTTTTTTGGTTTTTCATGTTCTTTAAAAGATGATTTTTGTTTGGACTTTGTTCGTAAACAAATTTATTATTTTTTTTAAAAGAGAATATTTTTCATCATATTTAGAAAAGAACTTGATTTTTTGGTATTTGTGGATGAAACATATAAATGTTATCGACATTATTTTTGTGATCATGTATCTAGGAAAGATGTGTCCCTTATTTATATTGATACAAAATCTCAAAAAGTGGGCATGTTTTTTAAGCCTCTTTACAAAGAAAATCTTTTGTTATTTAAAAGAGATAAATTGGGCATGTTTATCATTTGAATCATGTTTTTGCTTGATCATCTTCTTTACTTGTTAAAAAATTATGTTTTTATGATTTTTTTCCCTTCATAAATATTCATAACTTTTCAAATTGGGAATATATATAAAAAAAATTATTTGGATTTTCATTTGTACTTTCATGATTTGTTTTCATTTGAAAATATCTTTTCATAATTTCCTTTCATTTAATTTCATGATATATATATATATATATATATATATATATCCTACGCACCAGCTCACGTGGCCAAGTGTGATTGGAAGAGCTCCAGCGCAGGGTTTTTTTGAAAAAAATACAGCGATGGTGAATTAAACTTCTCTCTCTCCCCCCTCGTGACCCTACAACTCTCAAAATTCTCAAATTGAAGAGCCTCTCCCCAAATTGAGATCCCCAAATCATCGGAGCTCTCTCTTTCTCCCTACGCTCCAGCTCACTCCGACGCCCTCGTCGAAGGGCTGCGTCGGAGCTCTCTCTCTCTCCCTGCGTTCCAGCTCACAC